CGTCCATCCAGCCCCTCGCACCCTCTTTCAAGTGATCGCCTCTCCCCACCTCCCCTCACGCCCCCACCTCCCCACCACACATGCTCACAAACAATCTCACACACACATGCGAGCACGTTCGCTCACATCCACGTGTATGCACTTACATACAAACACACTCACTTACGCGCACTCACTCAACAACGCGCACCATACTCCTGTCTCCCGGCCTCACCCCCAAAGGTTATTGAGGAAGAGGTTTTTGAGAACGAGCGCCACCTGCTCTTCAGCGGCTGGTCCCATAAAAACCTGCTGGCGGTGGACCCGCGCCGCTACAGCCGCTACAGGGACGGCCGCAGCAGCACAGAGGCGTTCCCATCAGTCATCCTCACGCAGGTCTGGCGGGCCATCCCCCCCCCAAAACCCCTGCCCACCCCGCCCTTGATCCCCGGGCATCCAACTTGGCCGCGCTGCAACAATATGGCCTCCTCTTCATTGGCTTTTTCGGGGCCGGCTCTGCAAACACGGGACGCGCCCGGGCGCCTGCTGCGCTCGCTCCGCGTGCACGCTCAGTAGCGCTTGCGCCTCCCCGCCTTCCGCAGGGTTGGGAGTGGGAGGGGCCCTGGGAGGTGGAGGCGAGCGGCGACGTTGACGCGGAGGGCTGGGCCTACGCCTTTGACTGGCCCGGGCTCAAGTACCCCCCAAGCCCCGGGTCTGGCCTCAAGAAGAGGTGCGGCAGTGGGTGGGGGGAGGGCGCAGGGGGGGGGCCGGGCGGCCATGCGCTCTGAAAAATGCACTTGCCATGTGCCCCAAACACATATACCTCTGACCGCGGGACGCGTTGGCACACACACATATACATGCGTGTGCACATGTTTTCATTCCTGACGCACAACTTTTTACACATGGCCATACGGCTCGACACAACCCCACACTCCACGTACGCACCCACACACACGCACCCAGCCACGACTTTGTCCGGCGCCGCCGCTGGGTGCGGCGGCGCCGTCAGTCCGCGCTGCCGTCCACAGTCCTGGACATCACGCCTGCCGGCGGCGCCGCAGACGGCGGCAAGCAGGCGGCTGGCTCAGGGGAGGTCTGGGTGCGCAAGGTGCGCGCCCCGCTGCGCTGTGTCGGCGAGGGGGCCGCTGTTTGAAAAACGCGCATGAGCAAAACTTGTCCGCTTGTCTTGGAAGCCATGGGCGAGGCCTGTTCGTCCCGTGCTCTTGTAGACGTTTGCAGGATCTGGAAGTTGGCAAGGCGCGACGCGTCTCATCCCGTTGTACCTTGCCTGGGATCATCCTCCCTTTGATGTTTGTCCTGCCAGGTGCTGGGTCTGGTGGACCCCGGCGGCAGCGTGCCCCTGCCCCACAACTGGCAGAAGCACAGCAAGCAGCTGCAGGTGCGCCCCGTGCTGCCCGCCCCCCACGACGCCGCGGCCGGAGCCGGCGGCCACGCTGAAGTGGCGCCCGACGAGGCCTCAGTCGGGCCGCCGCCACTGCGGGCGCCGGGGACCCCGGTGCCCGGGGCCGCAGCGGGCGCGCCGGCTCCCAGCCACAGCTGGAGCTTCGGCGCGAGCGCCGGCCAGCACAGCATCGCGCTCAGCGGCTTGGAGGACGGCGCCACGCGCCTGCTCTGCTGCAAGACGCTGTCCGCGGCCGCCGGGGACGGCGAGGACGACGGTGCCGCGGCGCGGGGCGCGCCGGGCGGCGGCGGCGGGGCAGCGGTGGGCAGCCCGCGGCGGGCGGCGAGGAGGGCGCCGTCGTGCTGGGTCAGCGCATGCACTGAGTCTGTCCAGCTGTACGCCTCCAGCGGCCTCGAGTCTGTCAGCGACTGGTGGGTGGCTTCTTGCATCTTTGGGGGTGGAATCGTTGCGGGCGCTTGCGCCGCCGTGCCGCCTTCAGCTGGCTGCAGTTGCGGTGCTGTTCTTGGGTGGTTGGGGGGGGGGGGTGGGGGTAAATGGGACGCTCGCGGCCGGTGCACGCCTGTGAACCCGCCCCGTGCGGCCCCACATTGAGGAAGGCACCATCCAGACTCGTGGTAGCGCCGAGCGGCGCCTTTCAAGGCGCCTCGTCGGGCAGCCCGCGGCGCTCCCAGTGGTGCGCGCCCGCCGCCCTCCCCGCCCCACGATCGACCCCCTCCCTCGCAGGCAGCTCGTCGCGCGGCCCCCCTTGGTGCTGCTAAACCACCTGCCCGTCACGGCGCACTACGCGCTGTGGGAGCGCTCGCCGCTGGGCGGGCCGCCCGCGCTGCGGCAGCAGGGGCGGATGGAGGGCGGCGGGGCGACCAACGTGTACAGCGTTGACATGCGGCAGCAGGTACGGGTTTATGGGGCCCACCTCCTGGGGTTTGGGGAGTTTTGGGGCCCAACACTTTATGTGTGTAGATACATATACCGTATGCGTGTATATACACCTACCCATACACATACATACCTTTGTGGACACGTACCAAGAAACTTTCTGGGAGTTGGGGGGCCGTGCAATTGATGTAAATTGCCGGGTCTGCGGTTGGAGCGGGCGGGGTGAACCACACACTGGGAACGTGCCTGCTACCTTGCAGCACGGCCGCAAAGCACGTGCGCGCCAGAGGCGTCCTCGCCACCCTCACGCCCCGAACTCACGCGCGCTCCACACCCCTTGCCCACCTGGTCTGTTCTCTGATGACATCATTCCCTCCAACCGACCCAACTCAACTTCAACCGACCCAACTCAACTTCAAACGCAGGTCCTGCTGACGTTCTGGCCAGACGGCTGCGCGTGGCCGCGCGACGCGCCGCCAGTCGTCGTTAGCGACGGCTTCCTGGGCGCCGACGCTGGCGTCACGCAGGCGGCTTCCGGGCGGCTTCCCGACGGCTTCCCGGTCGCGTACGCCAACAGCTCGGCGAACGTGAACCTCAGGGTGAACATGAGCCGCGACCTCGACCTCGAATTGGTCGAGAGCCAGCGCCTGCGCGCCGCCGGCGCCCGCGCCGCGGCTGCCGGAGGCGCCGCCGCCGCTGCGGCAGCCACGCATGGGGACGCCGCCGCGGAGGGCCTGCGGCTGTCGGCCGGCGCGGCGCTGGCGCACGGGCGGCCGCTGACGCTGCACCTGTGGGTCCCCCTGTGGGTCGTCAACGCCACGCAGCTCCCGATAACAGCGGGGCTCGTCCTCACCGCGCCGGGCGCCGACCCTGCCGGCACCGGCGACCCGGCGGCCGCTGGGGCTGGCGACGGCGGCGCGGGCGGGCCGCTGCGCGTCCTGGACACAGACGCGTACTCGCCGCCGGCGCCGCCGCTGGGGCAGGTGACCGTGATGCCGCACTCGATCGAGCTGCTGAGCTTCCCTGACGCCGCCGCCGCGGCCGTGGCCGCCGTCGCCGGCGGCGACGCCGCGTGGGGTGTCGCGGTCAGGGTCATGGGCAGCCGATGGAGCGCCCCGCTGCAGCTGCTGCAAGCTGCGACGGCCGCCGCTGCTGCCGGCGGCGGCGGCGCGCCGTCCTCGTCGTCGGCCGAGGCCGTGGCCGCCGCGTCGGCGGCGGTCGACGCGGCGCGGCTGCCGCGGCTCGAGCCTGTTGTAATCCGCGCCCGTGCCAAGCCTGACGGCACTCAGCACGAGGTCACCGCGCGCGTGGAGGGCGCCGGCGGCGGCCTGCAGCGCTGCTCGGTGCTGCGGCTGGAGCCGCATTTGGTGGTGTCCAATAGGACCGGCCATACGCTGCACATGCTGCAGCCGGAGCCCATCTGGCGCGCGCTCGGCGGCGTAGGGGCGCCGCCGGGGTTCATGGCGCCGCAGAGGCTGCTCTCGGCCGGAAGTGCGGCCGGCGGCGCCGGCGCCGGCGCCGGCG